AATACTATCGATTCAGACTGAGCTTGCATCATTCTTTAAATCATTGGTGTAACCCAAAGGATGAAAGAGGCGCAATTACTGAAAGATATAGTTTTATAGATAGTTCTAAATATTAAAATTGTATTCATTAGTTGTAAAATTACAATATGTACATTTTTCTTAAATGTCTCAGTTTTCGATGCTTTAAATAACTATACTTTTCTGAGTGATCCATATCGTATTATTTCTTTTAGTTAGTCCAAAGGGTCAACCAAAAATACCTTACATTTTTCTGCTTAAAGTTTAAATTTAAAAATTTGAAAATTTGTTATCCAAGGTAGTCGTTCTTCGTAAACTTTTTCAAAATTAAATTTTTTCAAGCCACTGTAATTAATTGAAAATAAAATATTTTTTGTTTGTTTTTCATATTTATCTATCCTTGTCTGAGAAAGATTTTGAAATACAGATTTCACACATTTTTCAGCTAAAAAATATGCGTTCAGAGGTAAAGCAAAGAGTGACAAAGTTGCAGGGTTCCACAAGCTCTGGTATGGCCGGGAAGGTAATAAAAAAATAATAATGGAGAGTTAGAGTCAAGCATTAACTTTTTCCAGCTCAGACTGAATGAGGCATTTTTCTTATTCATTCACATATAGGTCTAGTGTCATTTATTGTGTTTAAAAATTAAATTTGAAATAAAATTAATAAAAGACAAAAAAATTAAATTAAAGGAATAAAGACAAATGTGAAATGATCAGATTGGAGATGATTTACAATGAAGATCTCTCTAAATCTTTTATCATCTAGCAGAAATTATTATCTTCACATTAAATCAATTTTATTTTTAGGTTATATTAAAATGTTTTACCTATAGTGTGACTTATAGCCGAGTGCTTTTATTCCTTCAATTACTTATATTTTTATATTTTCAAATTTATTTATAGCACACATTTTTTGCTTACCCTGAATAGCTGGCAGATACGGCGGTAATTCTGGTTCCTCCACTTTCTTTTCCTCCTCTTCTATGTTTTTCGAAGCATTGTTGGAATCAACATGCCCAGGAGAGCCTCCATCCGAATGATCGGATTTGGCTAATCGATCAACGGACAATGGACTTGGATTGTTATATTCTGAGCCATCGTTAGAATCACCAGCGGAACCTTTATTTGACTCATTAGATTCGTCGTCGTCATCACTGCTCGATTCCGAGGAATCGGACGAATGTCGCTCCGAAGATCTTTCATGTGGACTTCTTTCTCCTTCGGTTGAGTGTTTGGACTCGGCTGATTTTGATCGTATATCCTCGGAACGAACAGGACTGATGCTTTCATCCGATAGCTCTACAACTGAAGGATCCGGATTGTTACCCGGACTCATGGGTCGTTTCTCGCCTCTCTTCATTCTTCTAGCTTCCAATTCCATCCTAGATACCTCTTTTCGTCTAGCCATTTCTCTATCGGCTTCCAATAGCCTTTCTTTTCTAATTTCTTGCTCCGTCATTTCTTTTGGATCTTTAATCTGTATCGAGATCTCATTTTGCACATCCATCTCATTAATGTCATCGGTTACAATCTCCATCGCTTCCCGTAGCTGCTTGTCCCGGTGCTCCTTTTCGCGCTCTATCTTCTCTTGATCTCTCTCGCGAGTACGCTCGTGCTTGTGAGATCTCTTGCGACGTTTCTCAGATCGTTCCATCAGTTCGCTTTCCGAAAACTGCTCTTCCATGATCACCCGTACATGTCTCTGTTCCTCCATGCGAATCTCACGACGTTCTCTACCGTCGTCCACCGTACGTATTTCGCGACGGTCCCGAAGGTCTTCCATCCGTATTTCTCGCCGATCGCGCGATTCGCGTAAATCTCGCAAGTCCTCCACCAATCGTACCTCATGTCGAGATGACTCGATTTTATAATTCCGAGTATCACGTGGATCCTCCCGTCTCTCTCTTCTCTTGTCCAATAATCTAAAACACACAAATATCTTGATCTAAGTAGATTATTAAAAGAACCGATTCATATAAATAATCATTATACTATTTACATTTACATGTTTTTTTTTTTTAAGTATATAGACAAGATTCTACAATTACCTTTCTCTTAAATCTTCTAGGACACGATCACCTGTACTTCTTTCCTTGCGATCGTGCCTAGAGGATTCTCTATCTCTAGAATGGCTTTCCATTCTGTCTAAGCGTTCCATCCTCTCGCGATTCCTCTTGGAGCTTTCCAAACGTTCGGATCTCTCGAGAGGCTCCCCCACATGCCTACGGTGCCTATGCTTGTCCCTGTGTTGTCTGTCTTCGCGTTCGTGCTGACGCGACTTGCGTTCTTTCTCATCTCTACGATTTCGTCTGTCGCTGTGCTTCTCCCTTCGACGAGACGAACTAGATTTATGATGGCGAACAACTGCCTGTGGTGGTTTAATATCCAAGGAGTCGGCCGTGTCGCCACCCTCTTCCTCTGAAAAGCTGTAGATATCGAACAAAACAATTAATTCGTAATTAAATTCAAATTGATGATATATCACGGACTCAAAACTTTTATCGTTTTAACAATAGTTAGACTTTACGAATCTTTTTTGACACAATTGATGAATGCAATTAAGAGAAAAAGTTTAATAAATATTTTAATGCTAAATAAAACAAATAAACATATTCCATATATCCCAAGGTAAGGACGATGTCGCGAGGAATATCTAAATATGATAGATAGAAAGGAAAATAATTGGATCACTCGTAGTGTAAATGTGCATTGTCTCGTCGAGTTTTGAATACCTAAAAATTCTGGGCAGCATCGCTCGTCATTCTGCTTCGTGAGACGTTATGCAACACGTTTTAATTTATCGTAAAAGAAAAGGAGGCTTGAGAGTGGTAATGCCACTCAGCGGGGTTGACGAAAACCACTCGACGCCAAATCCGTCTTGTATGCCATTCGCGAATCGCGAGTGTATTCTACGTACGTACGTATGTGTGTATGTGTGTATGTATGTATGCATATGTACCAGGTATCCTCGGCAATCGACTCACTCCGATAACTGGATTGCCGAATGCCGAATGCCGAATACAAAGGGAGAAAAATTTGTCGCGCAAGCGCGCACATGCACCTTAAATGTAAACGTTATTTTAAGCTAACCTAGACAACGTCCACTTTCACGTGGTTCAGACTTCAGACAACAAAGAGTAACAGATGTGTAATTGGCTGGTATCGCTGGTAAAGCGGCTGATTTTTCTTTTAAACCTAATTTCAAAGAAATTACACGGCAATATCATAAAAATAAATACCTAAAATCACCCATATCCTTCGATGGACTTTTCTTAATTTCTCCGTCTTCGCTCTGATTATCGATATCCATATCCGACGTATTCGCGGACATATTCGCGCCAATGATTAACAGATTTTTAACCTATACTCATTGGAATATCGCTCGTTGTATTCGAACGTGCTTCCATTTTTAAAGAATTACAGCCCATGGAAGGATTAGCGGAATAATCAGCGTGACGCTTAATTACGGATTTTGAATCGTAAATGCAGAGAAAAGAAATAAAAGAATATCACGATTTTCTCTATCTGTACTCCATACCACTAGCGACGTTACGTGTTACGACTACTTCACTACACTTACAAGCTTGAAGCTTGAAGCTACAAGTTTAGTGAAGAGAATAAAATGTCTGGTGGTGGAAGGGATAACACAGGTCTGTTCGCGTTGCTTGCACTTTTGGCACTCGACATCTTCGCTTTCTCTCCTTTTATACAGGGAATAACGAGCCGTCCAATCAGAGCTTTGGGGTATAAGTTCGTTATTACATCCCAGAGCTCTGATTGGACGGCTCGTTATTCCCTGTTGTCTGTGCCTATTGTGTTTCCAGCTTTACCCTAGTCATATAGCGTTTT